GGAACGCGGAACGGGACGCGGAACACGGAACATTCCATTTCACGATTGCCCTCCGCGCGGCGCGCGCACCACCGGTCCGGCTCATCCGAAAGGGAATTCCGCGTTCACTGAAGTCCCACGGCAACTTCGACGTCTCTTCGCCTTGTCCGTCGAGGTGTTGACAGCCGCGACAAGCCCCAGTGGGCGAGGCCGTGCCACGGGCATCCCCAGAGTCCAAAGGACGAGAGCCAAACCTTGCCAGCTCGATGAGCCAAGCCAAGGCGTTCATTGGGACTACATGTCCATCTCCGACGGTCTCTCGGCCACACGGTTGAATCACCGGGAGCAGTCGATTGTAGGGCTGTATGTACATATTCATATCCCATAATCTCATGATGAATAGCGGGACAGCCCAGTATCATACTTCTCGCAGCAAGACATCATCTTTCCATGTCATGTCGCTCGAGCTCCGAGACAATAACTCATGGTTTTCGACCTCCACGACCTGAGTCTCTGGTTCGATACTTGTGAGCTTGTCACTGAGTGGCGTCTTGTGTTTCGCGACAAGAATGATGATGATGAAGGGGTATAGCGGCTACAGCACTAATATCAGCTCTTTTACTGGCACGGCTCGACCATCGATATACAGACATACCGCGGCGATGGTCATCAAGACAGTCATGACCGCGTAAAACACCGGTAGGCGGGTCACGAAGTACGAGACAAAGTATATGACCTGACATGGTACGCATGAAGGTCGATGTCACTGTGGTATAATTGGCATCCATACCCATAAGAGCGTGAACACGATCCCAGACTCGGTCAATAGGGCGAGGATGTTCTCCAGAGTGCTGCGCCGCGACATGATCACGACTTTCTCGCGAAGCAGGCTGTGGTGTTGCCTGCCACATTTGCTCTAGTAAATGCTCAGGTGATAGCACTCGGGAACGTACCATGCTTTGAGGGATATGGCGCCCGTGGCGAAAAGGCTAGTGGCCAGTGATGCAGGTATAGACACGAACGATGACGTATCATCATTATTGAGCTCGATCACTGTGTAGATCCATAACGCTGAGAGGCCATGATGTGAAGAGGTCGTATGGGGTAGCTACTTTCACATTCTCACCTGTAGTCACGAGAAGCAGGAATGCAGAGATATACACAAGGGTCTTGCGCCAGGCCCAGATGATCAGCGCGCGCCTGCGATAGCCCGTTCACTTCGATGTCATGATTCATTGCTCAGTTGATGGACGTACCATAATATGATTGCATCACCGAGAATGACCTGTAGTCCCGTGAGTGCACAAAGAACCCATGGCATTGGACTAGACACGTACGTTGACAGCAAAACACGCTACTCTCGAGATAGACTGAGACGAGGTATAAATTCTCGGCCTCCAGGACAGCGACGTATATGCCACGCGAGAGAATCGAGAAAAGCTGGGCCAGCGCCAGCGCGACATAAGTCGTTGTCAAGACGAACATGGTGCTGATAGTGCATAGGTACACTCTGTTGAGCGTAGAATGTAGGCCATCCTTCCTGCGGGATCATTTGAGCGCCGAGCATCCGGGTACGAGGGAGCTGAAGAGATATCTCACCTGAGACTGATCACAGCCTTGTAGTACGCAAAACCCAAGATACCTGGTAGGGGTTATCAGATGCAACCTCGAGAGACGATGCCTCTTAACCCACAATATAGAACCAGGAGAAAGCTGGCCAATTCCACGAATATCCGTCTAGAGGTGCTATCTTCGAAACTCCCTGCGGTGTACCCGAAGATTGGAAGCGATGGCATGGCTCAGCAGGAAGACCGGACACTGTCGCGAGAACGTATACAGAGAGTCAGCGTGTGTAAGCGGCAGGGGGTATTGGGCAGTGATCGACGCGTAGGCGAGGTAGGCGGCAAGCAATGATCTCTATGTATACCATCCACGTATCTATGAGCCGCGGTCATCGGACAGGGATCAGAAGACCTCTTCTCGAAAGAGGTGCGTTAAGTACTGAGATTGTGCCGAAGACGCCAACGTGGACAGCACGATTGTCAAACTGAGAAGTCTAGTTGCCGGGCGCGACAACCGGCGCAACTGGCGATTGCAAACCAGTGCTACATGGTTCAACAATGTCATGCGGCCGTTGGATAGAAGGGTCGAAAACGGTATGCGCAGTTGATGCGTCTCACAGCGGTACTGCTATCGGTGCTAAGGCAAGTTGACAAGGCTGTCTCTTGTGCGAGCCACGTATATATGCATTGAACGGATAGACAGTTGATGCCCCAGCTCCCCGGGCTTCTCGCGACTATGGGTCCACTGTATGTACATCGAGTATAGCTGGCATCTTCAGCAGCGTGCCGAGGATGCCAGCTCGCGGAACCGATGGATGGTGGTCGTAACGCGTAAGAGACGAAGCCGCCGCACGGGTCCGGGGTCGGCGTCCGGCCTCTTCCGGAGCGACTCCGCTCGATTTCCAAGCGCTCGCCAATACCTCCATCTGCTCTACACATCCACTCACTCATGCTCATATCGATGGCAGCGCCAGTGCCCATGACAGGGTTAATTCTGACATGTGAGCTGCAGAGCAGCTCGACTCATGCGGCATCTACACGAAACCGCGGTACCGCGCCTTCCCCTCACCACAAAAAGCGGACGTGTCGGCGGCTGCTTTAGGAGACTAGCGGCATCCGCCCACTCGGACTGCGGCACTTGCTACGGTGGCGTGACGACTTGAACCAAGTTCACATCGACTCCCTCCTTGCTCCTTGCCCACCGCCTACGATCTCGGCCAGGCGCGCTCGTCAAATGTTCTTGGTGTTAATCGTCGTCTGTGCGGCTCGCTCATGCGTGTGGTCAAACTGCCATGCTGGTTCCTCTTGTATACCACATCTGCTACTATCATGGATGCAAAATGGTCACTTGCATACTGGCCTTGGGCGTGCATGGAAATACCATAAAGACTGAGGGGGATGTGAAGGTGTTCATCGAGGGAGAGGGACGGGAAGCAACGGTACGCATGAACATCCATCCGATGCGGATCGACGTTGACATGAGAGAAAGAAGGGACTGTGCATCGCTGGCGGCAAATAGACCAATACCGGCGACCGCTCATAGCACATTTGCAGGCAGCCACATCCGCGGGCCTGTCCGTGGATCGTTCAACGCGAACACACAACTTGCCGTCAAAGCTCAGCGCTCAAACCCGAACTCGCCCGACATCGTGCTCAATCGCCCAAATTATCGTGATCAATAGCGTTAGGAATATCGCGAGGGTACATTGATGTATGATAAATGCTGCATCGTACAGAATCTCCAGTTAGGCCATACCGATTTTCCCTTCTTCACTATCTTGATCCGACACTGCATGTTTACCTATATCCAGTACTACGGTCATAGGCTCAATGGAATGGAGCTCGTTGCTGATTGGGACCTTGTTCTGCGCCACGAGAATGACAATCATGATCGGGTAAAGCGGCTGGAATAAGCGTCTTCAGACACGTCGTGTAACAATGCAAGAGCTGGACACGTACTGTAACGATGAACATGATAAGTGTCAGGGTCACTCTGAATGGTACGCTGTCACTGGTTGCCTCGCCAATGAGATAGAAGGCCTGAAGTACCACTTGAGCTCTGGATTTGATTGGAGCAGAGCACAAATGTTTACGGACCCATATTGCCGTATATACGATACCAGTCTCGGCGAGGATATTGAAGATGCTCTCCAGAGTATTGTGTCGCGACATGACGGCGACGTATTTGCGGAGCATCCGTCGGCGCTGCCTGTATACTCATCAGCAGTCGTTAGAGCAATAAGCAGGAACAGGCCCCACCAAGCTCTCACTGAGACGAGGATCGTGGCCCACAGACTAATCGTGAAGGATAGCGAATTCGACAAAACATACATCCTCTGTGTTATAGTCGATGTCAACCAACTCACTGGTATCGATGTGTCAATGAGGGCCTTTGTAGATCTCGTGTAACCCACGCACCGGACGAAGCGCAGAGTAGCAATATAGATGGGTATACGACACGTTTTTGCCAAGACCATATCAGCATGACTCGCCTGCTCTGTATTAATTGGTGCTAGCGGCCTCAAAACATTAGCACGCACCATAAGATAATTGCATCTCCGACAATGGCCTGTGAACGACGTTCATGTGAGAAACGACACGATAATGAAACCGCATAAGTTTCCTACACACATTGACGCTAAAGGCAGCATTTATGAGTCTATCATCAGCCATCAAGGCTGAGATGCGGTTGTCGAACGAGTTAGAGACACCGCCGACGACATCAAACACAACCCAGACTTGACAGATATCGCCAACGGTGTATAGTGTCGTCATGCTCGACATGACGATCACAGCAGCGAAGTTGAGTTTGTTGGGTAAAGAACGTAAGCCGCTCTTCCTACAGACGCCATTTAGTTTTCAGCCATTGAAACGTTGACAGATGGACGTCAGACGCACAAAAGAGAGTACAGGGCGACGATAGCAGCGCATAGCAAGAAGCCTGTTGGTAAGATGTCGGTCAGTTTAGATAGTCGCACGAAGCGCCAGGATGGTACATACAATAAAGAACGGCGAGAAGAAGAGCTAGAAATGCGACTTCTCGAAGACCATCGAGAACAGCTATGGGTATAGTGACATCGAGCGAACCATCCGCCATGATTCGGAACGTGGAAGAGATACAGGTGCACTGGAAACCAGTCCAGCAGCGACGAACTTGCACGGCGTCGACAGCGGAGGGTTCAAGAATTGCGCCGCACATTTAAGTAGTTCGTGGTGAACGCAACTGGGCATGCCGGGCGTTTCGCGTTTCTGGACGATCTTTTGGAGAACAAGCGACACAAATGCGCCAGGCACACGTATGAAGGAAGAGCATCTGCGAAGTCTGGCGCGCGTTAGCGTTATCAATCTGATCGACGACGGAGTGCACCGGCATCAAGCCATCCTCTGTGCTCGTGGTAGGAACGCGTCTCATGCTATTGTACTACTTAGGGAAGACAAAAGGGAGAGAGCCGGCCCGAAAAGGGCATGGACGTGCGGAGACGAAGCGGATCTGGCTACTACGCACTGGAGATCAGCGCATTGCTACTTCCAGCACACAGACAAGAGCGATAGATGTCGCCGGCCATTTGTGTGCACAGCAACGTTGCGGCCACGAGCCACGGCTCGTGAAAGAGCGGAAGAACATGGTCGTAGGAGACAAATAGTGCTTCAAGTAACTGTCAGCCGCGTTGCGGGCAGTAAGCGCGTGGGCTCGGGCTCGCGTCGCACTTGACTCCCTCCTTCATCCACGGTTTATACCCTCTCAATGCCGAACAGTAAGACGATGTCAGTCCCTAATATACTCCTATTGCAGGGCTACCCCTGACCCCGTGAGTTGTTCCGCCACTCTACGCATTCATGCGTTAATCTGATTCTGCCAGCGGAATCGTAACCCACTTGCATCTTGACACATCCACACTACAGACGTGACCGGCATTTATACAAACCCATGTCGGCGCTGTTCTCCCACTCCATCTACTACTCTTCCCCTCCACACTCGTCCAAGCTGCATACTCCCATCTGCCGTTCACGCATTTCGCCGACGCATGACAGCTCCACCAGGCGCGCCCGCATCTCTTGTGACGAAGGCAGCCAGTCACTTGCATATGGACCGTGGCATGTAGGAGGGTTGTAATAGGGAGAGCCGAAGAGGCCTCGAACGCATTCGCACATGGAGAAGGCAGCGGAGGCCGGGCGCCCGTCGCTGAGGTGTTCGATAACAGCAGTACGCATAATGATCTTCCCGGCGTATCCCACGGCACTGACGCGAAGTAAAGGGGATGTAATGTATTGGCAACGAAGAGACCTGTACTGGGGACCACAGACGGGGGATTGCCGCTGACAAGCTGCCCGACTGTATTCTCCGGCCGAGATGGCGTGAAGAACGAAGCGAGGAATTATCGTAGGAATATAGCGGTGATCGTTACAAACACGAAGTCGTACAGGGGCTGAAGACATCTCAATATCAATATTCAGATTGTATATCGAGCACAGTCTCTGTTTTTCCCATCTCGCTGTCTTGACCCAAGAGATCGCGACCCTCGGACTCTACCTGAGTGATGGGCTCAATCTCCGTCAGCTGGTTGCAGATTGGGGTTTTGTTCTTCGCAACGAGTATAACGACCATCGTCGGGTAAAGCGGCTACATGATATGTTGTCAGAGAGGGGTGCCAAGTGAAGGCACATGTAATAGATACGTACCACGGCAACAACTGCGATGTTTGTTATGATCTGCTTGAATAATCCAGTGCCTCCCGGGATATCGACGGCAATGAGATAGACGGTCTAGAGTGCCGCAGGAAGTCAGGCTTGGTCACAGAAGAAGTGAGATAGTGACGAACCCAGAGCAAGATGTAGGCAATGCCAGACTCTGTTAGGATATTGAAGACATTCTCCAGAGCATTATGTCGCGACATAAGTGCGACGTTCTTGCGGAGCATCTGCCGACGCTGCCTGTGGGGACATCCATCAGCAATCATCGGAGCAATCAGCAGGAATGGACCCCACCAAGCTTTCACTGAGACGAGAATCGTGCCCCACACACTGACCGCGAGGGAGACTGACGTTGCAAATACGGACATGTACAATGAAGGCACGGTCGCTAGTACCCAGGCCACTAGGCAATCCACCTATCAGCGAGAATCTTCTCAGCAATCTCCGTTGGATTACGCACCGATTACGAGGATGAGTAAGAGCAAGCAGGGGAATACGATGCGCTTTCGCCAAGACCAGATCACCATGACTCGCCTACATTGTATCAGTCTACGCACTCGGAAGCTAAGCGCTGGACATACCACAGGACGATCGCATCTCCGAGGACTGCCTATGCTGAGGTCAGACGAAGTTAGCCTGCGAGTATGTTGTGCGCACGTTGATCCCGTAGACTGCTTGTAAAATCGCGATCCCCACGGTATTCGACAAGATCGGGTTTTCGAATGAGTGAAGGTTACCGCCCACCACATCGTATATAGCCCAGAGTTGTAGAGAATCAACAATGACATATATCGTTGTCAGCGCGAACATGACAATCACAGCAGCGAGGTTGAGCTTGTTGGGTAAAGAACGCAGGCCGCTCTTGCTGCAAGGATGCTCTTCAGTCTCCATCTGCGAAGACGAGCGAGAACTGCTCTGACGCACGAAAGAGAATATACGGCTGAGAATGCAGCGCATGCAAGGAAACCTATGCGGAAAACATTGGTCAGTAATGGCAGTGGCTGGGCCCTTGGAGTGATACGTACTATAAAGAACGGCGAGCAAAAGCACCAAAAAGGCGGCCTCTCGGAGAACTCCGAGAGAAGACTTCGATATGCTGATGACGGCTGTCTGGTCGGCCATGCCTAATGAACGTGGAAAGAGAGAGGTACCCTGAACGATACGCAGTTCAGAGGCGACGAAGCACCAGGGCCAGGCGACCAGGTCGGCTTGAATACTTATGGCACACCAAGCGCACCAGGCGTTACCGGGCGTTTCACGTTTCTGTGCGCCCTTACTAAGATGTTCCGATGGTGACACCCGGCGCGACGCTTGAACGCACAGAACGAAGGTACGAAGAGGACAGTGTGCCGCCCGCCGGCGCAATCAGGTCGATCGTCCAAAGTAAGCGTTGTTCTCGGCACCTTCCGCGGGCGCGAATGAGTCCATCACACGCAGAGGTAGGCCTCGGGGTTCAAGGCGTGATGAATGATAATCTTCGCCTGCCGGAATAGCAGCTTTGTTCTGCTTTGGCTGTGCTCAGAGCGGAGTGGTGCCTGGTCGAAGAGTGCACCGAGCGCAACGAACAGAGATCATTCTTAGAATTCGGCCAGAGAAGGTGCGTAGTCGCAGGTCCAGGATGCGATTCACCACGCAGCGCCCTGCAGCGCCCAACGCACGCGGCACATCTACGAGTTCCGGAACACGAAAGCGACGAACATCGAGTTCTTTTCGCATGTATAGGCAGACGCGTCCGACGTCGAAAGGCCAGAGGATGATGGGCGCCAGAGACAAAGTAGAAAGAGACCGCGACGTTGCGTGATGTGACGGATGATCGCGACGCGAAGCGCCGGGTCCCAACTTGATCCATGACCCCCATCTACCCCTCACGTACCCACCACAGGGTCGCACTTGACCAATAATATATGGCCTTAGATCTCATTCTGTAGCTGCGGCCACTGGATGGTTTCGACTTTGTAACAAGGTTAAGTCTTGCGTGTTCCGCCGACGCGTGTGGCGATCTTCGTAGGGCCCTGGCCGTATTCACTTGGGCTACTAAACCGCGACATCGGGCAAGGTCAACTCTATCTGGTACATGAGAGGACGGTACACGTAAGGCATAAGCGACAAGGCGTATGTGGCTAGATTCCAGTTGGACGAGCGTGCTAAACTTGAAGGCACACGAGGAACGGCTAGATAACGTACAAGTTGCGACGATGAGGAACGTAGGAGGAAGGCCTTCTGCGTAAGATTTGCACGCGAAGAATGAGCTTCGATGTGCGATGCACTCGTAGAGTGCAGCCTCATGGCCTAAATGTTTCCTTGCCACTCTCGCACTCCCCAGCTAACAGATCACAGTTATCGGGGTCCATGATGGTTACTGGCTCGATAGTAGTGAGTTGGTTGCTGATCGGGGTCTTGTGCTTGGCAACAAGAATGACGACTATGGTTGGGTAGAGTGGCTACGTGCTCTGTCAGAGGTGTGCACCCAGCGACAAGTCCTAAGTTGAGAGCATTGACATACGGTTGCAACGATCATGACGATAGTCATGGTATCGTCAAAGTTCTCGTCAGTGGAGAAAAACTCGAAGGCAACCAGGCAAACAACCTGATGCGCTACTTCTCAGCGGTCTTAATGAAGATGAAGACAGAAGCTTACGAACCCAGAGCAAGGTGAAGACGATGCCCGACTCAGTCAGGATGTTGAAGAGGTTCTCCAGGGCGTCACGTCGCGACATGATGGCGACCTTCCTCTGGAGCATACGCCGGCGCTGCCTACATCTCGGTCAGTCGTTTCCCAAGCACTACCGGGGCTCTCGTCTGACCAAGCTTTAATTGACACGAGAACCGTGGCCCACAGACTGGTCGCTAGAGATGCCGGTATCTCGATTGCCAAATCGTAGACATTCCCCACCACCCAGAGGACTGAGAGTTGATATATTTAGATAGAGTGCACCATGTAGTCTTGGGCAACATACCAAGCGTCGCACAAAGTAGCAGTATTGATGGGTATACGATGCGCTTTTGCCATGACCAGATCACGATGGCTCGCCTACCACGTATCAGCTTGTATGATGGGACAGTACGGCATCTTGACTCATACCACAAGATGATTGCATCCCCGATAATGACCTACAGGTGACCTTCCAAGGTAAGAAAGGACGAACACGTGGGGCATACGGCGCACGCACGTTGATTGCAAATACCACAGTTTCAAGTGTTCCACCGAAGGCAGCAACACTGATATCGAATGTGTCCGCTAAGAGGTCGAATTGGCTCCAGAGTTGTAGGATCCTGACGATGGCATACAATGTCGTAAGGCTGAACATGACTGAAACGGCGACGAGGTTGAGTTTATTGGCCGAGGCACGAAGACCAACGCTCCTGCATAGAGACCGTCGAGTCGTCGTCCGTATATAGAAATGTAGCTGACTCACAAGAGAGAATGTATGGCGATAAATGCTGCGGATGCAAGGAAACCTGTACGTGGAGCATTGGTTAGTGTAGGTAGTCCGGTTGCATGAAGATCGGGGAGCACAAACTGTAGAGAGCGGCGAGTAGAACCGTAAAAAGCGCGTTGGCGCGTAGACTTTCGAACGTAGCCTGAAGTGCGTCTATATCAAGCGTGATGTTTGCCATAACTTAGCGAGGAGCAGGAACGGAGTACTTTGAGCTACAGCCAAGCCACAAGAGAACAGCGTTTATGTAGCTCACTGCGAGCGCACTGAGATTTCCCGCTGTTTCACGTTCTGAGCGCTCCTGTAGAGATCTGATGGCAGTGTTGGATGGGCAAGACGGGCAAGTAAATCGCGGAACGTATGCGTGACAAGCACAGGGCGCTCACCGGTGCAATCAAGCTGCATGACGATAAAATGCAGTGACTAAGTCTATTTACCCTTTGTCGGTAGCATAAGCGCGCATTCTGGTACACTATAGGCGTAGGTGGGTCATAGGCAGAGATGATTCAGATGTCGGACAAGCCAGAAGGTAAGTCTGATCCGTCGAGGCTGAGATTGAGATTGAGACGCGTTCAGCCATGTCACGCGGTCCTGTCATACGGAGACCCCTTGCATATGGAAGTTGCATCGGGTATCGCCCCACGGGCGGTGTGCATACAGTGCTTCTGGATGCAAGGAACGACGCTGCCAATGTCGTGCTACCTTCAATCCCGTGAGAGAGTACAAGGCAAGAGTTCTCTGTAGAGTTCTGTCTCGCGCTTCACAGGGTCGAGGCGTTATCATCCCCGAAGTATGTCAGGCCGGTCGTGCCCGCAGGAGACAACAAGCAAGCAACGCGCAAAGCGACGGACGCGTTGACGCGGCGTCCCCAGCCCTCGGATCAAACGTCGGATCCCATCGCCCGATCCGCCTGAACCAGGTTTGGTCTGTACTTCATGACCTCTTCCTCTTACATCTACCTGTTCCGCATGAAATCGTCAGACTGCACATACATGGCTCTCTCCGACACACCAATCATCTCGACGCGCATGCTGCTCTACAACACCTCTCGCACACCTGCATGATCAAGCAGCTTCAACCTCATCGGTTCAGAGTTGTAAGCCGGATGGCCAGCTGCAGCGGTGTTCATGGCGACAACGGAGTCGCTCATAGTTAACGCCCCAACCCACGCGCTTATCTCTCTATGCTCCGCCAGAACCTTGTCAGACTATTGGGCTTGCCGAACTTGCATAGGGTTGTACGATCGGCGTCGGCGGGATTGGCGCGTCGTGACCTGTCACCATACAGCGCGACTCGGACGAATTTGAAGCCGTCGACATCTATGTAGAAGACAGGGCGGAGTGTCTGGTATCGGAGGCTGTCAGAGCCAATGACGGATGACGGAGAGAAGGAGATGGGCCAGAAGGATGTCGAAAGGCGGCGGGGTAGACGGCCAGGGCGAAGGACCGAGGTGAGTGCAACGGCGTACTTGTTTCTCATCCAAGCGCCTGATGACGCCCATGGACATGCATTGCGGCACTTCTGTGCTCTTAGCTACCCTTCCAGCCCGACAATCATGTAGCGGTCTGTGCTTGATCAGATTGTCGGGTTAGACGGCGAGCGTGAAGACACGAAGTCAAGGCGATGCATGGATCTCGACCGCCGATAGAGGCTTCTATATAGCGCATCGCATCCTATCCTCAGTTTCCTTCGCTTGTGCCCCCCTGTATTGGACCGGTTTGCTCGAAAAGACTCGATGCCCTTCGTGAACGTGACGATAGATCCGGAGCTGGACGTTGTAGCCCCCGTGGCGTTCTTCGTAGCCCAGCGGATAATCGTATTGGAAAGTATCCTGCTCCTTTCTTTATACGGTAAGCGCTATCGCGAGCTGCCAACATATACATCAACTCAACGGTCCCCATGTAGCTCTTTTACTCTGTACATACTTGGCGTCCTTGTATTATCTTTGGTACGCGGAGACCCCCAATTTTGCGAAGACCGTAGTGTTAACCATCCCAAACCTCAGGAAACACGGTCTGCGCTCGATACTCCACAAGGTGCACTTGGTGACCGTTAGCGTCATGTTCGGTCTTACCACGGCATACATCGTATCGGACCTGCTCTACACGATGGATTTGTTCGACTTCATATTGACTCGCGGCAGTAGCTCGCCCGCTCGCGCGGCGCACATTGCCGATGACCTTGCGTTTGCGACCTTTTCCACCACCGTTAGTGTTCTTCGGCCTCTCGACAGCCGGCGTAGTAGAGCTCACACTCCTTGAAGGTTGTCTTGGGTGATGCCATCATCCTCTGGTAAATGCCACAAGCGTATCTACACGTCTAGGATATTAACGCACTTACAGGCGTGCAGCCTTGGTATGCACATGGCCGCGGTGGTTGAAGCTTTTTTGCGTCATTGTCATCCTAGCACAGGAGGCCTCCGTTCGTATCTTCTACTCTGTCGTATGCTCTCTCTGACGACTTCCTTGTAGTGGGTAGTAAGCAAATTGCGCGGGTCTATCATTGTACCTGAGGTCATAAGCCTGGCCATTAGCCTGGTTGCCACCGTCGCCATCTCGGCTAGGGCATGGTGCGGTTTCCTCTTCACGACGCCCTGTCGAGACACTCAAATCAACACAGGCAGCATCGTAGGATGCTTCATGAGAAGATCGCTATGGTCTCACGGCGGAGTGCCCTTGAGAGCATTCTAGAGATTCTAACGGAAACAGGCATTTTGTACACAGCACTTTGGGTATGTCGCGCTCTTGTCTACTATTACTATCTTCATGTTGATCCCTTTTGGAAGGCCGTTTACATCGCATCTCATGTTCCAAACCCTCATAATGTCACATTCCGTGCTGTCATGACTGCTGTCATGACAATTGTCGCAGTGAGTGTGCCACTGTCTGAGCAGCGCAGTGTCTATCGGAGCTAACACGCGCAATACAGCCTCTCTACCCCACGCTGATCGTCATTGTCGTCGTTCGACACAAGTCACATCTTGAGCATCAGCTGACAAGCATCGAACCATTGACAGTGACGGACCCTGAACGTCTAGATTTTCTTCCCCAGGAGGATTCCACAGTCGGAAGCCACTCGGAATTCAACCCGTATGACATGATACAAAAGGACAATACAGCGGGAACTCGGACAGTACTGTAACTTGTTGATGGTATGTAGATCGTGACTCGATTATATATTTGTAGTTCGCACTAGCTCAATGTATGCAAGCGGATGTTGGCAAGGCTCCAGTGCCCGCCCTCGGGGGACTGTGATCCGTCACCGAAGACGCGACAGCCCAAAAGTCAGCTGACCGCGCTGTGGGCCCTTGGAACGCGGCCCTCGTTCGTCGGGCGCGCTGGCAGGCGCTGGCACAAACCAGTGCGCCTTTGCATCATCCGATCTCCTCGTTGTTCACCGTCATGGCTCCCTGTCATACATGTCATATGGTGCTACGGATACAGAATGTGTCCGCTCATCGCATCCTTTCGTCCCTGCTCATCTGATTCGGCGCTCACTGTCTTCGGGTGATGCGGAGGGAAAGAAGCTGATACATCGACGCGACAGCACCCTCAGCCGCTTGGACCATCTCGACGATTGGGTTTGAGAGGCAATCAGAAAGATACAGCGGCGATGGACAAGCGCAGCAGTGAGCAGAGCGCGAACGATCTAATCTTATGCATGGAGGTCAAACACTGTCAAACACCATAGTATCTTCCTTGTCCAGGTCGGTATCTTGACCCAAAAGATCGCTACTCTCAGGTTCCATTACGGTCATTGGCTCAATGGTGGTGAGCTGGTTGCTGATCGGGGTCTTGTTTTGCGCAACAAGGATGACGATCATCGTCGGGTAGAGCGGCTGCATGTAGTATCTTAGACATGTCGGATACCTATGCGAAAATTAGGGACGTACGGTGGCAACGGCCATAACAATCGTCATGATCTGGCCAACGACGTCGCCAGCAACCGTCAAGCTGCCAATGAGGTAGACGGTCTGAAATGCCGCTATTGATGAGAACTTGATCGAAATCGAAAGAAAGGACGGTCACGGACCCAGAGCAAGGTGAAGATGATCCCGGACTCAGTCAAGATATTGAAGACGCTCTCCAACGCATTGCGTCTCGACAAGATGGCGACTTTCTTGCGGAGCAGACGTCGACGCTGCCTGTACCATACTGAGAACTTGTCTACTCTCAGTTCAGGGTAAACCTCACCAAGCCTTGATCGACACGAGTGTTGTGGCCCACAGACTAAGAGCCAAGGATGCCGCCGTCGATATGACCGATAAGTTCACCGCTATGTCCGCCAGTACCCAGGATACTTGAAAATGCGTCTATTAGCGAGCTGCCAATCAATCTACGGAAACACACTCACCGATAGAAGCACAGAGCAGAAGAAGAGATGGGTATAAGACCCGCTTTTGCCAAGACCAGATCACGATGGCTCGCCTACTTGGTGTCAGCTCATTCGACCGGGTGTGTCGCACGCGATAGAACATACCATAAGATGATTGAATCTCCGATTATCACCTGCGAGCGACCTCCTGATGTGAGAATGAACGAAGTGATGAAAATACACGGCCGACTAACGTTGGCGCCGAATACCGCGAACAGGAGTGTGGTCCCCTGATAGGTGATGTTAAGGTCAAAGGAGAGTCTTGAACGACTACCGCCCCCCTCGAGGTCGAAAAGGTCGAAGATCGCCCAGAGCTGCAGAAGCTGAACGAGGGTGTATACTGTCGTCAGGGTGAACATAAGGATCACGGCCGCGAGATTGAGTTTGTTGGGTAGAGAACGTAAGCCGCTTATCCTGCATGGATGTCAGTCGATACTGCACCCAATAGACGGCAGAGAGCTTCCCCGACGCACGAAAGAGAGTATATGGCGATGAATGCAGCACATGCGAGGAAACCTGCGCCGCAGGGTACTGGTCAGTATTGTCCGATACGACAGCTTGCGCGATAGTACGCACTATAAAGAGAGGCGAGCAGAAGTACTAAGAAGACGGTCACGCGGACATTGTCGAGCTCGGCTCGAGAGAAGGAAATCCCTTGTGTAGCACCGGGCATGAATATGAGCAAGAAAAAAAGCAGAGTCCTCGCAGGATGAACGTAGTGCAGCGGCAAGAAGTCACAGTGGCTGACGATGGCGGGTGCTGAAGCTGCGATGAATCTTTATATGGTTCGCAACCAATGCAACAGGTCATGTCGGGGGTTTCACAACCTTCCCGAGTGCCCTTACTAAGGCCTTACGATGGCGACTACCGGCGAGACCTGTGTGCGCGCAGAACGTATGCAGAAAGGCAAATAGAGCGTTGCCCGGCGGCGGAATCAAGGAAATTGCTGATTAGAACACGCTGTGCGGGGCACATCCCCTGGCGCCTGTGGCAGGTTCAAGAGCACACTTCCGGTGTTAGCGGGAAGCGGAAACCTCCTGGATAGGTTGATGCCGACATCGAGCAAGCAATTGAGTTCGATATTCATGCTTTCGCGTGGGATAAGTAGATGGACGGCGCGCAAAAAAGAGGGCAGGCAAAGCGGGTGCTACGTCGCCAATGCGCACCAAAACCGGATGTTCTCAGACGCTCGCGCGCATCACCAAAGGGCGAGAGTTGAAGGGATATGCAGCGACACAGAACAGTGGTGGCGTTGTGGTGGCGGTGGTTCTCCAGGTCGGAACATGCCAGCGGTCTGAAGTATCGGATCTTCGGATCACAAATGCCGGATTCCAACGCCCGAATCGGCCGAACCGCGGTTGACTGCGATCCATTGTCGATCCATGGCCTCTTCCTTTCACCCTCACCTGCATGAACCGAGCTGCGTCAACCATGCATATGGGCCCAGAGCTTTCAACTACATCCCAAAGGCGCTCTTAACAACCAACTCGTCGCCCATACCGCCCCTATGTCTATGTCCATACCTCTACTTCGGACTGCAAACTACTTCGAACCGCCATATTACCGCACCCGTCACCGCACGACGCATCGCTGGCTTAGCCGTAGCTATGGATCACAATGAAGGACACGGAAGGATTGTTTGGAGGGCGGCTCTTGGTGCCGATCAAGGCCCACGGAGAGGCGGGGATGAGTTAGAAAGATGTCAAGTGGCTACGTTCATTACAACTTATCTTCAGCTGCATTTTATGTGCGAGCAATATTACACTGTCGGATAGCCCTCTCGCGTGCCCCAATCGATGAGAATACCATTGATCTCGTCGGACCAGGTTCTCGCCCTGTAACTTCTTCATTCGATTCAGTCTGGGACCAGGCTACGTAGTACATCCCTCGTCACGGATTGAATCCAAGAAAGAAGCTTTGTCGACGCAAACGTTTACACGGCCAATTCGAATGAACACGGCATGTTCATAGGGGCCACACCACTGCGTTCGCGGCGCGCTCCCATCCAGTGATGCGCATGCATACATCCCCAGTGCTTCGCCTCTCACTTTCCAAGCGTCCACACTGCCCACATCACGAAGCCGCGCTTCTGCACGCATCGGCCCAAATGCGACGTGTATATTTGATGTGCCTGAGCTTCTGTCGGTCGGCACATGCTTTGGCCTCTTCTATATCTGATAGTAAGTTCATCCTCGGGTTACACGGCCTGGGCGAGGTGCCCAAGTCATTGCGACGGCGTACTTGTCCTCCTTCAATCACCTTCAGACAGACACACGACGCGTTACTCCTGTGGTCCCAGCTACATTTGCCGCTCGACATCGTCGCTTTCCGATCCTTTATCGAAGAGATACCACTGGCTGCTGCAAGATGTCTCTCGTGAACGTGACGCTCGATCCGGAGCTGGACGTCGTAGCCCCTGTGGCGTTCTTCATGGGCCAGCGAATCATCGTATTGGAAAGCTTTTTGCTTCTTGCACTGTACGGTGAGCGCCACAACGAGCCGCCGAACGCCACATGTACTGATCCAACGGGCCTCGGCCAGCGCCTTTACTATGCACGTACTTGGCGTCGCTGTACTATCTCTGGTACGTTGGTGCCCCCCTCCTCGAAGCCATGCATTGACGAACTCCGATTAGGAGAGGCGGTCTGCGTTCAGTGCTCAATGTAGTGCACTTGGGAACTGTCAGCGCCATGTTCGGTCTTACCACGATCTATATCGTGTCGGTCCTGGTCTATGCGATGGATTCGTTCGACTACATACTGAGCCGCGGGGATGAGTCGTTCCTTCGTGACGCACATGTCGTTGACCAACTTGCGTTCGCAACCTTCTCCACCACCGCAAGTTTCGTTTAATCCCTTGAGGTCTACATGAGACTTATTCTCATTGAAAGGTCGTCTTAGGCGATGCCATCATCCTCGGGTAAGATGTTGCGAGCGAGTAGAGACTCACAAGTCCTTACGCACCAGCAGGCGTGCGGCCGTGATTTGCGCATGGCCGCGATGGGCAAGACTTCTTTGCGCTGTAGTAATCATCTCACAGGAGGCCTCTGTTCGTACACGTTCTCTTAGCGTAGGACTTTTCTGACACTTCTTTGTAGTGGATAGCGGGAACATTACGCGGGTATCAGCTCGTGGCTGAGGTACTAAGCTTGACTATCAGTCTGGCAGCCACCATTGCTATCTCGACAAGGACATGGTGCGGTTCCGTCTTCACAACTTCCCGTCGAGAGACTGAGATGTGCACAGGCAGCATCGTATGATGCTTCGCAAGAAGATTGCCATGGTTTCTCGGCGGAGCGCCTTGGAGAGCATCCTGACGATTCTGACGGAGACGGGCATCGTATACACAGCGCTTTGGGTATGTCAGGCTCTTGTTTACTGCTATCCTGTTGCTGAAACCTGTCAAAAGGCCGTTTACATCCCATCCCATCTCTCAAATCCCGTCGTCTATCGTGCCGTGATGAATGATGTCATGACCATCGCCGCGGTCAGTCCACGTCTATCCGGGCGCGAGTCCGTCCTTGCCAGCGCTGATACACAAAACACAGCCCCTCTATCCCACGTTGATCGTGATTGTCGTTGCGCGGCACAAGTCAGAGCTCGAGAATCAGCTCACGAGCATCGAACCGCTGACGGTGTCGGACTCTGAGCGTCTGGATCTGCTTCCTCAGGAGGATAACATGGATAATAGAGGTCTCGCCGAGTTCAACCCGTATATTGTGATACCGAAGGAAAGTGCAGGTTCATGAGGTTTTTTCGTATGATGTTGTATAGTAGTGTATACCGGATTTGAATCGGTTATGAAGCTGGACTGACAGTAGCGTCGTAGCGCTCTCTACGCGCACAGCGGCGAGGCATCCCCCGGTCTGACTTCAACGGTTCAGTTGAGCGCGGGTGCGCCGCCTCCGCGAGAAGAGCAGACGTAGTCAGTAGCGCTTGAATGCGTCCGCGTTCGCTCGTTGTCCCAAAAGGGCTCTGCGAGCTGCATGCGATTGCCACGCCGCCGGAACCGTCGGCGTCAAGATCAGCGCGCAGCGCCTATATCCCGCGGATTTCCGTCTTCGACTTCCAGATCAACATGAGTGATAGACGTCGAAGTTCGCCCGCATACATGTACACGGACATGATCGACGTTGGAAGCCCAACGGTGGTGGTCGCAGGAGACAAGGCAGAAAAGAGGCCGCGGCGTTGCGTGATGTGATCGTGACGGCAGGTTGCGAAGCGGATCCCAGTCTGCGGACTTGATCCATGACCTCCTCCTCCATCTACCCCGCACATCCGCCTCCCTTTCTATCATAAACTATATCGCGATGCCTGTACCCATAGCTGGGCCCTCTTCGACCCGTGAGCTTATCCTGACGTGTATGCATATTCAAGCAATAACTAAAGTCCGCCCACCACATCAGACCACTCGGACCTCGGCACCTCCAATGGCGGCGCGCTCGACATCCACCAAATCAAATCGACCGCCCAAGCCCACGTCGACTCCCTCCTCACCCGCCGCCCACGGCCCGAACCCTCCGCGCTGGTCAAATCCGCGCAATCCCAAATGACGCTCGCGCGCTCAGCCGACGCGCGCGGCGATTTGCCCGGCGCGTTGGCTGCGTTCACCAAGGCTGCTGCATTGCTGCAGGGGGCGGTCAGCGGCGTGTCGGCCGTGGGAGTTGATGGGAATGTGAGGAGGAAAGGGGAGGAGGCTGTCAGGGCGTTTATGGACGGGGAGGAGGGGAGGGAGATGGAGAGGGCCAAGAAGGATGTCGAGAGGAGGTTGGGCGCCATGATCAGTGCCCAGCAACAACAGTGCGTATATTACCTATCTGATATTGTATCACGTTACTTAATGTGATTATAGACGAACTAAGGAGGAAACAGTATCCACGGCCAGCGGAGGGAGCATCGCTGAGCGGAAACGGGCGCTTGCCGGAGCAGGCCTGGCCGTCGACAACAATCTGTCATCAAACCCGAACCGTCGCACACTGCCCTCAGTCCCGACCTCTCTGCCCGGAATGAGCCCGCAGTCGCCGACGCACGCTTCTCCCACGTCGCCCACACAGCCCTCCTTCCACTCCTCGTCCCATCGCACGACGCCGTCGCTGAATATGCCTCCGACTTTCGGGAGCGCGATGAGCACGGCCAGTGCGAGCGCTGGGCTGCCGCCGCCTATAAGCGCCAGTTCGAGTGCGAATGGGTTTGTGCCGAAGGAGTCGTTGGCGCCTAGTCCGAATACGCCCAATTACGACGATTATCGGTCGTTCGAGCGCAGTACGCCTACTGGGGTCGTACCACCATCTTCGACATCTACTCTCACGAATAACTACTCGAGCGGAGGGATGGACGAGATGGACGTGGTCAGCACTCCGAGCGAGTTCAAGCACAACTTCCCATCCCTATCCGAGTTCGAACATCGCGAGTTTGCCGACTCGCCTCCTCCGAATATTCTCCAGCCATCACTATCCTCGTCGTATAACAACAACGCCTTCTCGCCGCCCTCGACATCGACCAATATATTCCCGTCGGCGCCCATAAACAACGCGAACTTCCCGTCGACGTCCGCGTACGCGTCTTCTGGGTCGTTCTCGCCTCCACCACCTCAGATCGAGCGGAAGGATACGTTAGTCGAACGCGGACTATCAAAGTTCCCGGCTATACCGCCCGACTTCTCGCCCATACCCCAGCCGCGGCCGGCCAGTACACCCGTAACGCCCTTACAAGTACGTCAACATTCATTCTTACAGCTCTATCACATGATGTTAATTGACATCTGTTATGTAGGACCACTTCGCCTCCCGCCCCGCATCGCCAACAAAGCGCTCGCCCGTCGTCCCGTCCAAACCAACCACACTCGGCGTCAAAGGCTCCCGCGAATCCATCCGCGACCGCGACCCGAGCGGCGGGAGCAGTCCGCTCGCCACCGGCTCGTCGTCCTCGCCGCCGCCTATACTCCCGAAAGGCGCTGTGGACCCCTCAGAACTGCGGAGGCTCCTTGAAAGAGGGGCGAACGCGCTGCTGTTGGATATGAGGCCACGGAGCGCGTTCGATGGGGCGCGGATATCGCACGGGGCGGTCGTGTGCGTTGATCCGGCGCTGTTGATGCCGGAGGCGGCGGGGAACAGCGCGAGCGAGGTCGTTCATGGTTCTGGGGAGGGGTTGAGGGACGGCAGGAGTGTGGAGGAGATATGCGACGCCATTGAGGCGAGTTTGCCGGCGCACGAGCAGACGCTGTGGGCGAATCGGGACAAGTTCGAGCTTGTTGTGTCTTTGGATCAGAACTCGACGCTCGCTACGTCCACCTACAACGCGAACCACACGAACGCGTCGCCGGGACAGCATTGCGTTCCAGCTCATTTGGCGAGGTTGGCGGAGGTTGTGTGGGAGAGGGCGTTTAGGCGCGCGACACGGCGAGCGCCGGTCGTGTTGATCGGAGGTGTGGAGGGATGGGCGAGGGCCGGTGGAGAGGTCACGGGCAAAGATGTCGACGCATTACTCTCTCTCGTTGCCGGTTCAGGATCAAGCCCTGCGAGCACCGGCAGCGGAACGGGCACAGGCATGGGCGGTGTGACGGCAGGCATGGCGGGGCTGGGCTTGGACGGCAAGCGGGATCGGCCCTTGACGCTCGCGGAGAATCAGGCGCGCATGCGCATGAGCGTCGAGGGCGCGAAGTCGGGACCGAGCCCGGCGCCTAATTACGCTACGCACCCCGGCCACGCGAGCGCGGGTTCGAGCGCTAACGGGTATCAAGCCCAGGCGCCTTCGACCAACGGGTACCAAGCGCCCGGCAGCACGAATGGCTACGGTCATGGATACCAGTCCCCCTCGGCGTCGGTACTCGCGCCGGCACCGTATAGCACGTCGTCGGGCTCGTATGCAAGGGATCCGTATGCGTCGGCGCCGCCGAGCGCGTATACGACGCCGCCGGGGGGATCGCCGCAGCATACGGGCGATAGTTCGGGCGGGGGCGGGCATGGGGGGCATAGGCTGGTTAGGAAGGCTACGTATTCGAAGTTGAGGGGTGAGGTGAATGGGCATACGAGGGGGGCGGATAGTGTTTCTAGCGTACGTCTACCCTTACCCTCCCTTCACGTCGAGAGCAGATACTGATGGTGGGACTACGATAGATCGCATCACCGCCCATGTCGCCGACGTTCTCTGCTGGCCCCATCGCGTACCCCACATTATCGAGGCCGGCGCTGGGCAGCCAGAGCAGCTTCAGCGGCGGGAACGGGGCCGTCAGTCCACCGC